GGATTGCGCGAACAAATTTTGCACACTTATAGTTTCTATAGAGAACGAGTGCAGAATACTAATATATTATTTTTAATAACGCACGTGCACTTCTGTTAAACAGAATAGAATAAAAAATTCTTTACTCAAAATAACTTAATTTAAGGACTTTTGATATCTTCTGGATGATAATGGAATAGTGCACCCGCCTGCGTTAACGGTTTACGCTGGTGGGGCACCAGTGGATGATGATAGCATGCAGTCAAGTCAGTTAGCTCATCTTGGCAAATGGCAACCACGATGTTTCCAGGGAGCACCGCGTGGATGTCAACCTGACATGGTACATTGCTAGCAATGGGGATTATTACTCCACATTATTATCAATCCCCATCCCCTCTATTATTATATTTCCCCTTATTTGAGTATTTATTTGAATTAGTGCTAATTGGTGGTTGGTATTCACACACTTAAACTTGAAAATGTAAAGTAATAATAAAGTTATTTAAAAGAGCAACACGCAAGTTTCTTGCTCGTTCTTCTTGTGATGAGACAGCTTTCCGAACGAGCGGTAGATTAAAAAAATGTAATGACTATTCAAAAGTGCTTCAATGTAAGTTTATTTGAATAAATGATTTCTATTCTATTCTATTCTATGTATGTTAATCTTTTCGCGATTAAACCGTTAAATTAATCTTAATGAATTTTACCGTGAAATTAGATTATACTAATATTACGAGAACGGATGTAGGCTAACCTTTATATCAAAAATCAGACGATATCGCGAGAAGCAACAATACATTATTTGACAAATAAATACATCATAAACAGAAAATCCAGACAATACAAACACTCATACAACAATATTTAATATATACACATTCTTATTGTTCGGAAATCGAAACCGCGACCATTGGATGAGACAGCTAATAAAACCGCGAAACCACCAAGGACGTCAGGGTCAGGATTGTCAATATAGGTCTTTACCACACAGTTCACACGTTCTGTAGAACTTAGCACGCAGTGAAAGGAAAGAAAGAAATAATTTTATTCGGAAGTAATAACACGCATCTGATATGTAAAATTCTCGTATTATGTGTTTTGTAACAAAAATCTTCCGAAACAACTTGACCGATTTTTATGAAATTTTATATATATAATCGGTAGGTCTGAGAATCTATTTTTTGTTAAACCCCATAATGATAAATATGACACACCGTAGAAAAAATATTTTCTGGACAAAATTTTATCTATACATATAAATAAAATTGGAGTGTCTGTTTGTAATATTGAAATAACCGTTTTTTTACTACATGCATATAAATATATATATATATATATATACGGTACACATACCAAAATAACATTTTTATTATTTTTGTCTGTCTGTCTGTCCGTCTGTTTGTTCCGGCTAATCTCTGAAATGGCTGGACACATTTTGACGGGACTTTTTTTGGCAGGTAGCTGATGAAATAAGGAGTAACTTAGGCTACTTTTATTTTAGATAATAAAGTTAATTTCCACGCGGACTCAGTCGAGGGAACAGCTAGTATTTTGATATGTATACTCGGTAGGTCAACCGTTTACCATGAGATAGGTCTGATGGCTATCCTTGTTTGCAACTATCGTAATTTAAAAAGGATGTTCATTAGATATTTAATTTGGCAAATAGCTTAAAACAATTCTGTAATTAATATAATATTATCTCACTAATTAATCAAACATTAAAAATGGTTTAAGCAAATAAATTTAATTAATTACTATTATTAACATCCTTAAATTAATAATCAGCATAAAATTTAAAATGATATCTATTATATAAGTTTTGAGTTATTCCATTGGAGTCAAAATATATTTTACCTGCCAAAATATATTTTGACTCCAATGGAATAACTCAAAACTCTCTCTTTTAATGGAAATAATTATTAACACTCTAGTTTAGCACAATAAAATCTATAATTATATAACTTTAGACAGAAAAAATATATTTTGATTCCAATGGAATAACTCAAAACTCTATCTTTTAATGGAAATAATTATTAACACTCTAGTTTAGTGCAATAAAATCTATAATTATATAACTTTAGACAGAAAAAATATATTTTGATTCCAATGGAATAACTCAAAACTCTATCTTTTAATGGAAATAATTATTAACACTCTAGTTTAGTGCAATAAAATCTATAATTATATAACTTTAGACAGAAAAAATATATTTTGATTCCAATGGAATAACTCAAAACTCTATCTTTTAATGGAAATAATTATTAACACTCTAGTTTAGTGCAATAAAATCTATAATTATATAACTTTAGACAGAAAAAATATATTTTGATTCCAATGGAATAACTCAAAACTCTCTCTTTTAATGGAAATAATTATTAACACTCTAGTTTAGTGCAATAAAATCTATAATTATATAACTTTAGACAGAAAAAATATATTTTGATTCCAATGGAATAACTCAAAACTCTCTCTTTTAATGGAAATAATTATTAACACTCTAGTTTAGTGCAATAAAATCTATAATTATATAACTTTAGACAGAAAAAATATATTTTGATTCCAATGGAATAACTCAAAACTCTCTCTTTTAATGGAAATAATTATTAACACTCTAGTTTAGTACAATAAAATCTATAATTATATAACTTTAGACAGAAAAAATATATTTTGATTCCAATGGAATAACTCAAAACTCTCTCTTTTAATGGAAATAATTATTAACACTCTAGTTTAGTACAATAAAATCTATATTATATAATTTTAAACAGGAGAAACTATATTTAGTGTCTATTGAAAATAGATACTAAATATATTCAACTCCAAACTCTCTTTTAGTATAAAAACTTATAACTCTCCAGTTTTTTTTTTGCATGAGAGATATGCAAAAAAAAACTGGTGATCTGCGTATCTGGTGGTCTACGTGTTCAATAATTAAATCTGTATTACTAACGTTGCCTTGAAAATATTGCTTTCAGCAATAAGGCCGCCTAATGTAATTTATATATATGTAACTTAATATGTTATTTATATCTTTTCTTTGCCATATTTTTTATGGAATAAGGTGTTACTTTGCGGAAGTCCATTTCCTTACTTAATGGATATATATTATTACTTCTATAATAATATTACTTGTATTATTATTTTCTATGCTGTATATTCGAAATAAAAAATATTATATTTTATATACATACATGTATAACATACTTAATCTATTTTAAAAATTAAAAGTATAAAATTATAATCTAAAAACTGATCTGAGCGTAACTGTTATTTTTTTCTAATTATATAATTAAATTAAGTAAATCGTAATTTTGATATTAATTATGTTAAATTGATTTAAAAAAAGCTTTACATACATAAACGTAAAAATTAATTACATATACTAATAATATCGAGATGAGAGATTTCTTATAAGAGTAACTTAAAACTTTTTCATACCTAATTAAGTAAAACATAATGGGAATTGATCTCAGTGATCAGAATAAAATAATATTATATTTAATAGCTGTGTACGTGTCACACACATGTGAAATTTATAGCCTAAGTGTTATTCTGATGTATGTATGTAAGCTGTAGCTTATATTACTGTAAAGTTTCATCAAAATACGTTCAGTATTTTTTGCGTGATGGAGTAACAAACATCTATATCTAAACTCACGAACTTTTGCCTTTATAATATTAATAAGATTTATTGCAACATAATTTTTATTTAATTTGAGTACTGAACCCGTGCCGTAAAGTAACTTAATCAAATAAAAATTAATACGTAGCTGTAATTACAGTACCGTTTGTATTTCCTCAAAGGTAATTAATAGACGATTTGCATTAGCTGCTTGGTCGAGAATGGAATGCGTATCCTTTGAGTTGAGGAAACATAATAGTTACTATTCGTATCATTGGAATTAATTATTGTAGATGCTTCTGGAATTGTTGAATTCTTAGGGGCAAACCATAAAATAAATCATACCAATTTCAGTGAGTTCTATACCCTCTTATAAATATATGTATAATAACCAAATCGTAATTTACACTTATAGAATAAATAACTTAATTTCTATATGGAATAAAAAAGTAACTTTAAACACACCATTGGAGGGGAGGGGAGGGGGGGGGGGGTTGATAGTAATGTGGGCCAACCCCATTGCTAGCAATGTACCATGTCAGGTTGACCTGGAAACCTCGTGATAAATTCGTGGCGATTTTAATAGGATGGGCTAACTGACCTAACCTCATGCTCATCTTATCATACTCCACTGGTGCTCCGCCAGCGTAAACCGTTAACGCAGGCGGATACACCATTCCTCTATCATCTCTATTGGAGAATAAATAAGCTGAAAGTCAGTTATTTTTGTGGAAATAAATCAAGTAATCAATACATGTCACGTTTTCAGATTAAGCACTTCTTGAGATGACTTTATTTTCAACCTATACTATCGTTCTACCGTTACTTATCAGCCTTATCTACCTCTTTTACCTTACTTATCAATCTTTTCTTATTCGATATATAAATTTAAAATTGATAAGTATATTCTGTTACAAGAATTTGACTCCAATATCTACAAAATAAGTATTAGATTTACAAGTGCATCATAAAAATCACATTCTGTATAGGACTTGTATATAAAATAAATTAAAAACTGATAAGTATATTTTGTTACAAGAATCTGACTCCAATATCTACAAAATGAGTATTAGATTTACAAGTGCATCATATAAATCACATTCTGAATCATAAGACTGGCATACAGTCTACATTTATAACCCTAGGTAATAACTTTTTTTTAATAATGGCAAACATTGATTGGCAATAGTTGCGTATAGTACCACTGACAGGACATCAACATGTATAACCAATGGTGCCCCTCCGACGTTGTCATTACAGAGAATTGAAATTCACCGCCACTCTTCAACTGAAATAGAGCTCACACAAGCTGCTTGGCTGCTGAAATAGGTGAGATAGAAATGCCCACGCAAACTGTAATGGTTGCCTTTGTAAATGCTTAAAAATTAAAACTTACTGTGCCCAATATTCTTCCCATTTCTTCTCCCTGTTGGATCCATATCCTCTTGGCAGTGTGGCAGTCTTCCCCCTTCCATTGAGGGACGCAGATGACCCTCTATTATCTGGTAAACTCAATACAGAGTGCCTTTGCATAGGCTCTGATCTGAACGATCTTAACGAAGATTGTGAGCCCATTTCATCTGCCTTCAGATTGTTCTGCGATCCTCGTAAAGTGCCATAATCCACATTAGGTTCACAGTACTCACTTTCCCCATTCCTATAATGACCATTCCTGTATTCACCATTCAATGAGTGACTGCCGGAGTTTACCTCGCTATAAGTTCTACCGAGAGGTGGTCTGGGCAGCGGTCGCCTTTGTTCCATTTTCTCGCCGCGGTTGAATGAAGAATTCCTCTTCACCATTTTCGGGGACTCCTGAACGTTGGTCAGTGAGGGCATTTTGGACTCTTTCTCCAAAACTATTTCGTTTTCAAGTTGACTCTGTACATTCGCTAACATCTCCTCCAGATCACCTAAATCCGGATCTATATTGATTTTCATGCGACGCATGTTTGGAATGTTATATCACAGAAACTTCACTATATCACTTTAATGACAAAAGCAATTTAACTAATGGATTCTTTGCTTATTTTATAATTACGTTTTGATAACTGAGGGAGCGCGCGTCACGTCCTCCCTCGACGAAGTCTGAACGACAACTAAAGTGGCACTACTAAACCAAATCGATCGCCTACCATTATCTTTTCTCAGCTACCTCTATTCAACACACTTTTTCTCTACATTGTTAAGTAATAAATGCATGTAAGCAATTTGTAACACTCACTAAGTATTAGGTATTGTTTGTTTTTTCTTAGAAATCATAAAGTAAAAGCAGGTAAACGGTTAGTTAATGATTGTAATACTTTTCGGAAGGTCACAATTTCGAATTATTTGATAATTAATACAGTAAGAAGCGGCATTATTAGTTTGATATTTTTATTATAAAAATAATCTATAATTCGTTACAATTAGTATGGGTAGTAAGTTTGGGAGTAGAAAGGACATCAAGGCCATAATTGTCAAAAAGTTAACAATTTTAATAGTAAATTTGAAATGTAATATGAAATTTAAGATACCATCCCAGAAAGGGTTTTCTAGATTTTTCCCTTCTTTTCTTTCTAAGAAAGGTCCTTTCTCTAATTTGACACTTAAGTTTGTGACACTAACTTGTCATAAATGTCACACTTTCTCGAACCCGATTAACATGTATTTTGTGACATAACTTAAGGTTATAATATCTAAAGAATAATAATAAAGAATAGTAGGTAGAGTTATAATATCTAGCCAACCATTCGACCTACATAACAAGATATCAAAGACCAGATTAATAATGTAACTGAATCTATAAAAAGTGGACTGGTGACGCACTGGTGAAAGACACCTGCCCTTATATGTATCATGATGACTAGTTTCACAAATACATAAACTCGAAAGTGTGCCTTTATTTGTTACCTTGTCACGACTAAACTAAACGCGAAGATTACATCTCAAGAATAGAATAGAATAGAAAATCATTTATTCAAATAAACTTACATTGAAGCACTTTTGAATAGTCATTACATTTTTTTTAATCTACCGCTCGTTCGGAAAGCTGTCTCATCACAAGAAGAACGAGCAAGAAACTTGCGTGTTGCTCTTTTAAATAATGTTATTGTTACTTTACATTTTTAAGTTTAAGTGTGTGAATACAAACCACCAATTAGCACCAAGGATGGATGATGGAGATAGACCGAAAAATTTAAATCGAAATATAAGAATAAAGTCTCATATAATGACCTTCGCCCAGTTCCCCCTGGAAACCATTATGACAAATGTAAGATGAGTAAATCACAAGACGAAAATTAACGCTAGCAATAGCAACTAGCATATACAGTAGTCTCAGGGTATAATAATAATAAACCTGAACAAATCACACAGCGTCATCTAGTCCCAAACTAAGCAGAGCTTGTTTTATAGGTACTAGACAACTAATACAAATGTATTTGTATCGAACGGTTTGATTCTTCGCACGATAGAAATATTTGTATTCATGAGTATGATCGTTTGCATTGGTGTAGGTGTTTTCTATGTATATTATGTATGTATGTACAAAAAATAAGATCTAAGTGTTTATATAAGTTGTCTAGTACCCATAATACAAGCTCTAGTTTACCGTGGGACTAAATGGCACTGTGTTCTGTGTCTAGGGTTAAAAATAGACAGGTAGACTTATCTTTTGATGTACCATAAGAGTTTGTAATAGACCTACAGGAATAAAATTAATTTGATTTGATTGTACTACATTTATTTGAAAATAATACGAACTGAATTTTTTATCAGTTCTTCTCTCTTTTATCAGTTCTCACGGTAGATTTGACATACCATAAGAATCTGTAATAGACCTACATGAATAAAGATATTTTAAATATGAATTGATCTATAAATTTACACGTGTAGGAAATCGCGGGACCACTGGTTGAATAAATAAAATTATCACTATAGATGAACATATCAGTTATAGTATCATGTTATCTGTGGTCAGAGATAACATAATACTGGTTAACTGTACCATCGCCGCAGCCACGAGACGTCCAGCGAACTTGAAATTATCCGTTACCGAGGAAGAATTTATAAAGTGTCTACGTGAAAAAGGGTTTGTTAGTAATGAGGACTAATGAACAGATTGCGATGCATCTGTAATATGTCTACGTGGAGAGGGAAGGAGATTATTAGTTATGTGGACTGATGACCCCACTGCAAGCAATATACCATGTCAGGTTGACCTCCACCCAGTTCTTCCTGGAAACCATCGTTATAAATTCACGATAGGTTAACTGACCAGACCGGCGGAAGGGGATTGTCAGTTATGTGGTCAGATTACCCCATTGGTAGCAAGGTATCATGTCAGGTAGACCTGCACGCAGTTCCCCCTGGAAACCATCATGATAAATCCACGATGGGGTAAAGGGGGGAAGGGGATTGTTAGTAATGAGGACTGTTGACCCCATTGCTAGCAATGTACCATGTCAGGTTGACCTCCTCGCGGTTCCCCCTGGAAACCATCGTGATAAATTCCTGATTAATCTGTCACGATGGGCTAACTGACCTGACATCATGCTCATCATATCATCCTTCACTGGTGCCCCGCCAGCGTAAACCGTTAGCGCAGGCGGGTGCACCATTCCATTATCAAGCCTCAAAAAAAAACTGACTAGAACGAGTGAGGCGAATTGCTACTAATATAGACTAATGAATCGATTGCTAGCAATGTAAAATGGATAGGCCTCCGCCCAGTCCCCCCCATTTAAGATGAGTAAATCACAATTATTTATAGCCTATATGTACTAATAACATCAGAATACTGATGTATAAGCTATATTACTGTAAAGTTTCACAAAATCCGATCAGTAGTCTTTGCATGACAGAGTAACAAACATCCATCCATACTCACAAACTTTCGCGTTTATAATATAATAAAGATAAAAAAACCACTCGGACAAGTACAAAGACTTGTAAAATACCTATGAACACAAATTCTTACATCATGCGAGGAATCAAACCCGTGATCATCGGAACAAGACGGTGTGCCAAACCACTAGACCAGCGATCGTCATAATTAGTAGTTTATTACAATTAATTGCTTTTACAATGTGAACAATTAGCGTGGATTTGTTTAATGACACCAAAATGGCTGAGTCCTTAATTGGTCAAGATTTTCGCGTCGCATTACACAATAGAAATTGTAATACAATATCATTTAGTTCAGATCGCAATAAATTTGAGTCATAATGAACAACCATAGAGAATGTGAGTCACACAATCCAGGGATTCTTTTAGATATAGAAAATTTAATAGACAAATCTAACAGCCATAGAGAATGTGAGTCACACAATCCAGGGATTCTTTTAGATATAGAAAATTTAATAGACAAATCTACCAACCATAGAGAATGTGAGTCACACAATCCAGGGATTCTTTTAGATATAGAAAATTTAATAGACAAATTTAACAACCATAGAGAATGTGAGTCACACAATCCAGGGATTCTTTTAGACATAGAAAATTTAATAGACAAATTTAACAACCATAGAGAATGTGAGTCACACAATCTAAGACTTTGTTTTATACTATGTAATGAGTCTGTGGTCAAATCGAGAATATATTAATATTATTTGTCTATAGTCTTACTAAATGTTAAATTAATTATGGTCGAAATTCGACCAGTAGGTGACTACTTGTAAAATACTAAATTAAATAAGAAAGTAAGTAAATGTTTTCAGAGACCAAATAACGTGACATCATGAAGTTATAAAATCAAATATACACAAATAATCATCATTATCTAAAGCGTTTTAGTTAATGATTATTAATCATCACAATTAAAACATTTTTGCGACAGTACATCATTGGTTTCTTGTAAGTCTGATCGGGAAGTATGAATGTATTTTATACTAAGAAACATATTGATTATTCATATATTTTACCTGTTGATTATCGACATTTGGATTTCTATATAGATGGTGACTACTATACACCAAGTTGAATTATGAAATATTGGGTGTAATAAGGGTGAGATATAATAATATATTAATAATAATAAGTATGGTATACGGCATAAAGCGTAAAAATCCAGGAAAAACCGAATTAATGAGACGACAATGAAAATAATAATTCACACAACCCCTAGACAATTCACACAACGTCACCTAATCCCAAGTTAAGCAGAGCTTTGTTATGGGTATTAAACAACTGATATAAATATTTAGATTTGTTTTTATCAATATATTTATTTTATTTATTTATTTATTATACTCTTTATAGCACCAATTACAGAACAAAAACAAAAACAATTAAAATAGAAAATATACACTGATACAAAAGGCTTTATCGCTAGCAATCTCTTCCAGACTACCTTTAGGTGGATAGAGAAATAAAAATAAGAACAGGGTATACATATAATATACATAGCAAACACCCAGACCGATACGAACAATCACATTCCCAAATACAAATGTTTGGACCGCGCAAGGAATCGAACCCGCGACCATTGGAGGTAAAGCGGAGAGCTAAACCACCGAGACTGACATTACAGGGTAGAGGCATGACACAGTCCTTAAGTATGTCAACGCATGTTTTATTGTGAAAAGCTAATACAAAAGAGATAAAAATCTCCATAAGAGAATTACCATACCTAGAAAACAGTCTGTAAACAGTAATACATTTAATTACATTGTGAGCAATTTCAGAAGCTATCAGTCATTTTTTTATCAATGCGGTAGTGGAGCACACTGGCGGAAGTATTGCTTGTTGCAGTATAGATAAACGTAGGCGGGTGATAAAGTACAATGACACATTTTTTCCAATACTAATGTTTGCTGCAACTTGGCTTTACGTTGTATTGGACCAAAATGAGAGAATGCAGAAGGCAGTGTTCTCCCTCCGATCGATCCTCCGCGCAATTTAAACGGAGATCGAAATTACGACAGCTTTCAGGCTAAAATCGTATCCGTCAGGCGGGGATTGGCCTTCAGCCGCTCCATACGAACGAGTGCTGCTTGTAGGGACTGG